AGAACAAAAAACCTTCAGGTCTTTTTTTCCTGGGAACTGGGATATTTTTTGGTGTGGGATTTTGTTGCTGTTGTTCTCTCTCAAACACACAAACAAAATTTCTTTTCAAAGGGAAAGATCAAATCAAAAGAAGTAATAATTGCTTTCTTATTGGAGCTACGGCTTATGCGTTTTCAGGGTTGACTGTCATTCTTTGAAGATACAATGTTTGGTCCTTGATTAGTAAATATTTGCTGAATGAATGGAGACTTGAATGGTGGGGGATGGGCCCCCTGGTCCTATAGAAAACAGCAGAAAGATCTAGGGAAGAAGAAAGTTCAGAATAGCTCTTCCTTGTATTGGCAGAGCGCTCATGCAGAAAAGAGAGAGTTTATTTCATTCCCACAAGACAGACTAAATATAACAGATATAATACAGACAGACCAAATATAAGAAATATAACTATTCCTGCTCGTCTCTTCACGTAAATTATTGTACAGTTTTTTTAAAAAACAAATACTGACAATAGGAAATTATTTACTGGTGTAGCTAATGTTCTGCAAGTGACTCTTCAACACAGCGCAGCACATAGCAATAAGGAGTAGTTACACACTAGGGAGGCCCCTACCAATGTACTGGGATATTTGAGTATTCGTAATATTGCACTATGTTTTATAGTTTATCCTTATGTTTATGAGAAATGGTATTGCTAAACTTCTTTGCCACATAAAGAAAGAAGGTCTTTCTTTTTTAAGCTGATACAGCAAAACTGGTCTTCCATAGACTGTAAGTCTGGGGAATGCTGTGTCTACATCCCTATCTGAGTCACTTTCTCTTCACTGGAACTCAATTTCTCTTCACTTTGTCTTCACTGGGTCAGTGTAAGAAAGATTTCCCACTTCTGCTCTCCAGTTAAATGGGCTGACACTGGGTAAAACAGTGGCTGACTGTCTTAGCAGTCCATTCAAGAGAGACCTGGAACCAGCAGAAGAGGCACTGCAGCAGGGACCCCCCCACACTTGGGGTACCTTTGACATAGCGGCTTCTCAGTCTCATCCCATGCGGCGCTTCTTCCCTGCCCCCACTGTTCCCAGAACAATAGCAGCTTATTTTTTTTTAACTGTGCAATCAACATTCCAAAGGAAACATCACTTAAAAAAAAAAATTGATGGAAACTTATGAGAATAATGCTTCTGAGTTAGGGAAAACCTAGAATTTCACAACCCTTTTGAAGCCTTGCATTTTTTCTCATCTCATCCTTTTGTCAATTGGCCTCTTAAATATTCATGAAGGAATTGACCCAGAATAAGAGTATTCTAAAAATCTTTCCTGAGCCTTTCAGTTTTGCTATCTTGCTATAGCAAGTAATTATTGGAATATAATCTCTGGTCAGCTATATTATTGTAGAACTAGAGAGTGATCTGGCTTTTTGCGGTTTTTTTTTTTTTCTTTCTCTCTTATATTAGGGTTTCAGAAATCTTGAGAGCTGGTGTAAAAGAACTGGTTCAATGCCAGACAGTCTCTGTTAGTCTCAGATCCAAAGTACACACATGTCCTGAAGCTCTCAAGCTTCAGAACGCTCTTCTTATCCGCTCACACCCCGCCCCCGTGAGAAGGGTGACTGCCAAGGACGAGCCACAAGCATAAAGTCAGGCTGAGAGCCTAGATGTGGACCGTAACACAGAATGGTAGACGACCTTCCAAGTGGGCAGAAACTGGGGTGGCTTCTTCAGCTACACAGCGGAGTTGAGGGAGGTCAGTTCTCTGTGGGACCCCGTAGGCTGTACCCTGCAGGGCGAAGTAGCCTGGGAAGCAGTCGCAGGTCGAAGAACATGCTCCATCCCTTCTGCTGACTTCTGTCCCTTCTTCCATGTGGATGCCACAACACAGCAGGCACCAGGTCTGTCTCCACGTGGCCACTTTTTGCTCTTTGCCATTTGCGCAGAAGATTCCCCTTACTTGCCAAAAGTCCTCTTTCTTGCTATCAGATGTGTGCGGGCCACATATTGAATGATGGACGGTAGTGATCTTAATTCAAACTCTCGAGCTACAAGAGATGTTCCAAAGCTGAACGCTGGTGGCACATTTCTTTGGTGTGTTCTCTAGGAAAGCCGGAGTCTGATTTTAGGACCACTAACTCGGTATGAGGGTGTGAGAACATAAATGAATCTCTGTGTGCCTCAGTTCCCTCATCTGTAAGTTAGGACATTGTGGGTCTTTGAAGAAATTTTAGAAAGGAGAAATAAGCCCCAAGCTCAGTGGCCAGTATGCAGATGATGCTTAATACATCATAGCTGCTATAATTATTTTAGCTCATTAATTTATACAGAGTCTGATCAGATTTCCAGTTTTAGCTCTTGAGATGTTTTGTGGTTGGTTGGTTGGTTGGTTGGTCAGTTGGTTGGTTCTGGGGATTGAACTCAGACTTCACCCATGCCAAGCGCACACTCTGTCACTGAGCTGTACCCCCAGCCCAAATATTTATGCTTTCTCACTTAAGATTTTCTAGCTGAATGGAAGTCCATTCACTTTTATACAACGAGACTTCTCCCCTTGTTTGTAGCTAGTGTCCTGGTTATTTGTTGCCAGGGGAGAAAGAAGGGTTCACATTTGATTGAAAAGCAACACTGACAGGGACAAAAAAACCTTTCTTTTCCACGATTGTCATTAGTGCTTTGAATTGTTGGTTCTTCCTGAAGATAAAGAAACGGAAACTAAAATATATTAAAATCTGCCATTGTCTTGGTCCCCTGGGTGACAACTCCAAGACAAGTGTCTGTCTTTCAGAGCCGTGGTCTTTAAAGCCTAGACAGGGACTTTATGCTCTGCCCCAGGAGAATTCAGTTACCGAGGCTGTGGCTGAGTTAGAGGAGAGTTTTCTCGCCGCCTTTCACTGTTAAGAATGCTCTTCAGGGGGCGGGGATGTAGCTCAGTGGCACAGCGCCTGCCTAGCAAGCGTGAGGTCATGAGTTCGATCCCCGGTACCACAAAAAAAAAAAAACAGAATGCTCTTCAGCATCTCTAGTGAGCGCTAAGTAACAGCCTGTCCTTTGTTCTCAAGCCGCCTCCTTCTGCGTCCTGTCTTGTCCCAGAGCCCTGTGGCTTAGTGGCAAAGCCAATCCTCCCCTGGGTGCGGTCCTCACACACTCTCCTCTTCCTGGGCCTGCAGACTGTCCGCTTACACATCTCGAATGAGAGCTTGCTGGGTCGGCAGCAGGGCATCTCGACCTTGGTTACACAGGGAATCCCTTGCATAGCTTTAAAAAGCTCTCTGAGTCTCATGCCCTAGAGATTCTGCTTTAGTTGCTCTGAGATGCGGTCCGGTCCTAAGAAGGGTTTAAAGCTCTTCCAGGAGAGGCAGCAACAGCCAAGGTTGAGAAGCACTGTTTTCTAAACTTGGTCAGTCCCCAAGCTGGGGAGATTCTAATAATAGCTTCATTCCCCCAAGTGACTTGGGGGTCAGTGTTTTAAATAGTTCGTATAAGTACATGGAACATCCGAGGGGCTTTATCCACTTTGTGTTAACTTGGCAGATTTGAAGGAAGGAAATAATACAGTTTTTTTTAGAAAATTCAATTCCTAGATAACCTTCACTAAAGCAGCGGCCACAGCTAGCCTGTGTTGAGCTCGTAGCGTGGGCCTGTGTGAAGAACTTACTGGCAGCCCCAGGCGTGAGCCTCACTTTCGGTCTTTTTTGATTAGTGAGGATCCTGAGGACCGGAAAACACATGCAGAATGGCCTGGGTGCGAAAACCTTACTGATTCTCTACCCTCTGGGAAGGAGTGACTTAGTCGCGTACCTTCCTGGACAATACAGATATACTTGCTTTACATTTGGGGCTGCACACTTTTTAAATGGGGTTCCATTCTCTCCTAAATCAAAAGCGCCCACGGATTTCATTTCTGATTCACTCTCAAGTTGCTTAAGCATATGTGGGACTGAGCTGCCGTGTAATAAAGTAGCTTTTCCATGCACTCAGGAGACTTGATTGCAGAAAGGCATCAACTTCTGACACCTAACCTAGCCCATCTTTCACTTTGTCTTCTTTGTTTGATTAGAGAGGATCCCGAGGTCCAGAGAGAACATCCATGTGAGGCAGTGAACACGCAGTGATGCCCCCATTTTGCAGAATGGGGAACTCTTACGCCAGGTCTTCATTATCTAATAACTACTAGTAATAGCTACTACTAATGGGGATCTTAATAAGTACAGGCTGTGTATTAAGTCCTCTATATCCGTGTATAATCCTTATTTTATGGATGAGGAAACTGAAAATGAAAAAGGCAAAACTGCTTGCCTAGGGTGCTGGAGCTAATAATTGAGTCCAATGTATGTTTGGTTTCCTGTTTGTTTGAACTTGCCCGTAAATGACAAGGCGTAGGCTTCATTTGCTGGGGGTGGCATCTGAATAACCCTGTCTGGATAAGCCTTTGAAGCATAAACTGGGTTTTCCTCCTGTGTCAGCACACAGGGATGGCCATCTAAAAGCTATTGTGAAACAAAAAGTGCTGTGCCAACCCTGACTATCCTCCTGAGGTCAAGCAGGCCCTGACTGTCCCTCCCTCAGGCGTCTCAATACAAGGTGACTTGGCATGAACAGCCCTAAGGTGAGAACTGCCCCTTGTAGCCGGTTCACACTCCATCCGCCTGTCAGCTCCGCTGTTTCTGACCGCTGAAGTTGGCACGGGGACCAAGTCACCGAAGTTCGGTCACCTCGTTACTACACAGACCCTAAGCACAGAAGTCCAGCTCCCCTTATCACTAATTGTGACCAAGCCAATTTATTTCCTCTCTCTTCAAGCATACAAAGACTTGGTATTTTCTGCTTTGCTAAAACACACACACACACACACACACACACACACACACACACACAATTCTATAGGGAGAATAAGTCTCTGTAATGCGAGGCTAGGTAGTGTGAGTGAGCGGGAAGGTGAAGTGCCTGGCAGCCTGTGTCAGAGCAGAGGGTCACTGATTGAGTGCAAGCCTTTTAAAAATGTTGTTTATCCCCCTACAGGGCTTACAAAACCATTGAGGATGATGACTTGAAGTTTCCCCTTATATACGGCGAAGGCAAGAAGGTAGGCATGCGTGCTTCCCTGCACGGAGAGGAGGAGGTCGCGTCCCTCATTGCTCTGCATAGCCCTTGGCGGTCTGTGTGTTCCACTCACCATTCAGGGTTTTATTGCCTTGACAGCTTGAAAGACTATCACATCCATCACCCTTCAGGTTGCCTGTCTTAAGGGTCCAAAGAGTTGTGGGGGCGGGGGAGACGGGCCGTGAACACATGGAGTGAAAGTCAATTTTGTGAAAATAGCATCCTCCATCCAGTCCATTTGCATATCTTTTACAGTGTTTAAACGTAACCGCTTTCACATATATCATCTCATGTTATACCTGACAGCAAGCTAGGAGGCAGGTCAAGCTGGCGATGCTAGCTGCATTTGGTAGAGGAGGCAACAGGGACTGATCAGACAGAAGCACAGCCAACAAGGGCAGCGCCAGGTGTAAGCTGTAGCTTGCTCTCCTTTTCCGCTGTTCTCAGGCTCCGCCACGGAAGTTTAGCAGACTTTGCAGGTCTGCTTTTCTACTTGCCCCAGGGAAGGAACTCCTAAGCGTCACTGTCATTAAACTGTAGGATCGCATCACCAGAGCCCAGGCTGAAGTAGCCAAGACATGAACAGCTCCCAGACTTCTGAGTCAAGTCATTATTCCTCCGAACATTAGGACGTTTCAACTGGGTGCTGAGTTCCAATTAGAAGAGAAAAAAATGGGGTCATGTTAAGAAGAATGTTCAACTAAAAAATTTTTTTTTCATCATTCAGTAGTTTTTATCCAGGAGAAATGACTCACAAGAAAACCAGAGCATGCCTTCCTGAGCAGAATGTGCATGGTTTGTGTGTGTGTGTGTGTGTGCGTGTGTGTGTGTGTGTGTGTGTGTGTGTGTGTCAAAGTGTTTGTGTAAGAAAACATAGGCATGAAGGATTCATTTTGGTCTCAGTGTAACCCAGCACTGATTTTAAGGCAAGCAGGCACCTAAACTGAAGCAAAACACAAGTGTCTGACCCATGTCATTTATAAACTAATGCCCCATCCCACTACAGCTCTGGTTGAGAATCATGGGAAGACGTGAGCTCTGCAGTCCAGTGGGTACCATTAAAATGAGTCATGAGAAAAAAAATAAATAAATAAAAAATAAAATGAGTCATGAGGTACAATGACCAACACCAGCAGCTGCAGTTCTCGGGGCTGAGATTCTCCTGTTTTCTGCTTGACCCCATGAGTTCCAGTAAGCTCAAGACCACATCCTTTTTTTCCCTAGACCTGCCCAGCCTGGTCTCTGACACACGGCACACCTTCGATGAATTCCTAAGTAATAAGTAAGCTGTTCAGTTACTGTGCTCTCCTGAATGCACAGAAAAACGGACTGATGTGGTCTTAGAAAGTTATCAGCAGTGAGATATAAAAGATTAAGGGTTTGTCAGTTAAGTAAAAGTTTCAGTTCACTTACGTAAACATCACGTTGCTCAAACATTTCAGCTGATTAAGGCCTGGCAGTGGTGTAATGAGCGGATCCCAAGTATTCTCATCCTACCTGTTGGCCTGTTGAAAAGCCACTGTGTCTCCGTTTGCTTTTATTGGTAGGCCTTCCCTGGCCAAAGGCGCACCATCTGAGTCTGAGGACTCCATGATTTCTGAGAATGCTGTCTAGGTCCCTACATCTTGGTTTCTTGTTTCCCTTCCTCTCTGCCTTCTCTGCTGTTACTTTTTATTTTCAGAACTACTTTTAAGGATTTGTGTGGGTAACACCTGTATACTTTGTAAACAAGGTCAGCCACTAGCAGGAACATGAGATTTCTGTGGACTGAAGCACAGGCAAGTGCCCTTGTCAACCAGAGAGGCTGCTCTTGCAGGGAGAGAGCAAAGGGGCCACAAGAGACCCAGAATCCTAGGGAGCCTGCCCAGCCTCCCAGCAGGGCAACCTGCCCGACCACAGGTCCCCACACTTCACGTCTCATGTCCGCATTTTATCTCCCCTTTGGCACTGTCCCTTAGGAAAACACATCATGGCTTTATTTGTTCCCTAATGTAAACCCTGCCTACCTTCTGGTTAGAGACCAGTTCCAAACTTTCCAAGTCTTTTGGGAAAGGGAGATAAAAATGGAAATAATGTGTAGGACTGTAAATGCTTCTTAGCATTTATTTTATCTTCACCTCTATGAAATGGTTACTTCTCTTAAGTAGTAGAGGGAGGATTGAAGCTGAAGGTTTTGAATGATGACATTACCCAGGCCGTGTTATTGATGACCCCTGGGTTGTGCCATTGGGCTCCATTGCACCTCTCTGTGTCTGCTCACCCAGGTGCTGTCTGTCCTTGGTGCTCCGCTCTGTACCGCCTCCTCCAGAGCGCACATATGCATTGATCTTGTGTCATTCAGCATCTAGCCATGTCCTATACGTGATCACTCAGTCTTGCAGTACCTCTTATTCCCTTACCAACTTCCTTTATTGTGAGGATGGGGCCAGAGACGTGTGTCCCCCACCACATGGTATCTGCAGCTAGCAAATGCTCAATAAATGTCTGAGTAAATCAAAACTGTGGCATCCAAAGAGATACTTGGGCTGACTCTGTGTGTTTTAGCACAATGTTTTACTTCCTTAAACCATTCATTAAAAGCTTAGGAAAAGCATGAGGGTTGGAGGTGTCTCAGTAGCTACAGCACCAGTGACACTTTTGTCCCACACAGTGGGAATGCAAGAAGGACAGATCACAGAGTTGATAATGACATATTTTTTCCATCCATAAAGCTTAATCACTGGGCTCTGAGAGGACAGGCATTGCCTCTGACTTTTTACATCTTTTGCTAGTGCTTATCACAGACACAACTGAGGCTCAGCAAATATTTAGGAAGAGTGGTGCTGTGGAAGGGTGAGTGGATGTGTGGATGCTGTCGGATTGGATATGAACGGATTTCAGCGACTGTAGGCACCACACATACCTCAGAGTTAGTTCACTGAGCACCGTGCCTCCCAGCCGCTACAAAGGACAACTGAAAAGAGATAGCAGCAACCCGGCAAGTTTAGGATAGCTAGAACATCCAAGTACAGAAGAGATTTTTCACAAGCCCTTTCTTGGGAACAACTACCCACCTAAGTTAACAGCAGAAGACTTGGGAAGAGGGGCGGGAAGAGTTGGGAAGTTCTTTCATCACTCTCAGCCTAGGGCAGCAGGAGTGTGGCGGGACGTTTTCACGGTGTGTGTGTTTCTGATGACCCTCTGCTTACACTCCTAGGCCCGGGTGATGGCAACTATTGGAGTGACCCGGGGACTTGGGGACCATGACCTGAAGGTGCATGACTCCAACATCTACATAAAACCATTCCTGTCTTCAGCTCCAGAGGTACCACACGAGGTTTTGGGTTATATTTTGTACAATAAAATATCTTCTACATTAGTCCTTCCCTGACTCACACAGATACCCATGTAGCAGCCACCTTGGGTCACATCTACTGCTGCATTGTCTGTCTTGTCCCTCCACTCTCACTTCGACTGTCATAGTTTATGTCCTCATCACCTGCTCCCCAGAGAGCGGCGCAGCCTCCAGATGGCATTCCCTGCTTCCGTCAGTCCGACCTGCATGTGGCTATCAGATGACTTTTCTCAAAGAACCACCTGATCCCTCACTGCTCAGAACCTTCAGTGGCACCACATGGCTTGGAGAATAAGGCAGACTCCTCCCACTGCGATGCAAGGCTCGCTGTAATTTGCTCTGACTTTCTAGTCTGATCTTCGTTCCTCGCACCAGCCAGATGAACCTGATGCTTATAAAAACTATTCCTTCTGCCAAGTCTGCCCTTCCTACCGTCTTTAAAAACCCAAGTCTCTTTCATTATGGTTTAATTCAGAGACTTCTCCTATGGGGTCTTCCCTGATTTCCCGCCTTCCCCAATCAGAGTACTCTTGGGCCAACTAACTCTTGCAGAGCGGCTCCCTTTCATGGCGTTTCCACAGTCTGCCATACCTCACAGTTATTCATGCGTGTCTTATCCTCGTGGTATGTTTTAGTAACCTGGAGAGCCTGTATTATTCAGCTGTTGTTGGGAGCAGTTAAGTTGAAAAACATCCTGGCCTGATGTTTGACTTTTTTTAAAAAAATAATCACACTTCCTATAATACTGGAAACAATCACAGGTTCTGTGTTCACTTTCAGAAAGGATCGATTAGCAAAGATTTTGTTTCCACGTTTTGGAGAAATGTAATGGCTGTTTAGTTGGCCCAAGTCACATTGATACTGGCCCACAAGTGACTTCTGTCCTAATGATTCCGTCCCTCTCAGGTTATATGTCAATTCTGATCCCTCTGACGGCATACCTGTGAGCTGGTATAGTTCCTTAGAGTCCCTCAGAGCCGTGGCTAGTGTCCAAAATATTATCTAGATATAGAAGCTAAGAGGCCATCAAGAGATAAATTTCTACTAATGGGACATAGAAGAGACACACATTCTCTGATTAATGCCCAGGATTTCAAATGAAGTCAACTTGGTGGAAATAATAACCATTCACTGAGAACCTGCAGACGTTCTTTCTTTGAGCTCTCCCAGCAATTCCGCATGAGCAGGACCATTACTACATAATGTGTTCAAGGTTCCCCAGGAGCTGGTGGGATCCTGGTCCCTTGATTCATGCCAACATCCGAATCCATGAATTACGGCTGAAACTACTTCTCTCCAGAGAAAAGTAATAAATCTTTGAATTCCACTGAGCACGGGGCACAACTGGCCCCATAAACTTCTGTGTTTTCTTCCTTGGGGAGAGGCATTTATTAGACATGTTAAATGGCGCTTTCCACTTTCCAGAAGCATCCCCGAGGATCTTAGGAAATGCTAATTAACCATTTTGCTCCGTAAAGCAGACTGAAATGTCTTTCTCTTCTTCCCCATGTACACATGCATATGCCTTTTTATATAGAGTGAGAAGACATTCATTGTGGCTGGAAAGAGAATGATCTTTATGCAGTTAGATTTTAGATCTTCCAGTCTGCCTGCTATTACTAATACCAGGAAAAGGCATCTTGAAAAATCTAATCTTTTAGCAGTTTTGAAATCTAAAATACATTATTACTGACTCTAGTCACCGTATGGTGCAGTAGGTCTCTAAAATCAAGATCTCCTATTTAATTGAAACTTTGCCCTTTTCTTTTCTTTTCTTTTCTTTTCTTTTCTTTTTTTTTTCCAGTACTGGGAATTGAACTCACAACCTTGTACTTGCCAGGCAGGCGCCGTGCCGCTGAGCTAAATCCCTAGCCCTTTAATTGAAACTTTGAACCTTTTCAAAATCTCCGTTTTCTATCTGACATTCTGGGGTCTTACACACAGTATCTCATTTTGTCTTCACAGTTACTTTATGGAGTAAGTATAGCTGTTATACCTATCCATTTTGCAGATTGGGAATTGAGACTTAGAGAAATGAAATAACTCCCCTAAGATGTGTAAAGTTGGTGTCTTATCTAAGTAGAAAGCTGGTGTTTTATCTAGGTCTGTCTAATTAGATCAAGGGCTGTTAGGGAGAGAACTAAGTTCAGAGAAATTTCTGCAGTCGGAGTCCTAGGGACCTACTTGGTACTGATTCTAGGGGCTTTGTCATGAACCTAAGGGAGCAGTTTTGTCATGGACCTTCTCAGCCAGATTTTCTCAGAGAAATACTACTGGCCTTAGGCTGAAGTTCGGGGAAATGATGGTGTAGTAGGGACGGTAATTGGGAAAGCCAGTAATGACCTTTTGTGTATGTGCAAAGCTAAGCCAGACAGAGCTGCGCAAAATAAGATCGTGTACCTATCATTTAGCTTAATGGATATGGAGTGTATACCCTGAAACTCTCTTGCGCGAGATTAAAATTGTTGTACATTTTAAATGCTTCCAGATGGACAGGCCCTAGCCAGAGCCAGGAAAGGAGGGCAGGGTGCTGTGAGAGGGGGAGAGAGGAACAGCTTGAATCGGCTCGCGTGGAGAAGAACAGAAGAAAGAAGATAGGTTCAGGGTCCCCCGTCCCCGAGTCCCCAACCTGTGGTACAAATAGTAAGTTCAGACCCGAGCTCTAAGGGGGTTTCGTTTGGGAGCCGGAAAGCCAGGTCGTTGATTTAACCCATCTGATGAAGACGGACTCCTGCCCGCCTCCAGCCCCACCCTCACGTTCTTCCTGAGACTTCCCAGGAACATCCCCCTGCTATGCTTTGTCTTTGCCAAGCATGGATCTTTATTTTACATTTGGGTTCTAAATTTCAAGCCCAGCACAGTCTGGTAGTTTTAACGGTTGAGAGGGGTGGGTGAGGAAATGCGATTTTAGTTCTAAGAAAAAAGGCTCAGAAATCTTCTTGGAAATTAGTATTGTCCCCATTCATCATTGTAGCTCCTAATTTGATTTGAGGAGTTAAATATAAATAAATCAAAAACATGTGGATCAAATTTATGTAAAAAAAAAAAAAAAAGAAAGAAAGAAAGAAAAGAAAAGAAAAACGCACAGGGGTTTAAAAATTAGAGAAGGGTTTTTCTAGCCAAACGTTTTCTCGGTTTCACTGGACACAAGGCGCTGGAAAAATCTCGAGTTTGCCAAACCTGAAGAACAGCCGCCAGGTTTGCTGAGCCTCTGTCAAACCTTCCCGGGTAGAAGGCAAGGATTTCTGGCCAAGCCCTGGATTCCACGAGAGGCCCCTCGGAGGGAGCTCAGGTCTGTGAGCTGCAGCCCACGAGGGGTGTGCGGGAGGCATTTCACTCTCTGGTCCACAGTGCCTTGCATTGTCCGGGTTATAGCGCAGGCTGCGGCCTTTCGCCTCGCAGGAGGAAGTGTCCCCAGCCAGGTCGCAGACTTGTTGTTCATGAAGCTCACCATTCAGCCTTTTAGTGCCACCCCAGACGAGCTCAAGCGGAAGAGGAAAGGCTTTGTTAAGCTCAAAGGCAGGGGAGCCAGGCCCTCCACATTCCCGGCTTTGCTAGCAGCTCGCCCACCTCCAGGCCAGCAACGCGTGTCATGTTACTCAGGCAGCTTGGCTCGGCCCGCCTGCGGCCCTAACTTCCAGATGTTCTCCATTCCACACCCTTTTTGGGCCTGGGACAGGGCCCTCCATGGAGCTGGGATGCTTCTTAATTTCACCCTTGTTTTCAGCCTTCAGCCCCAGTTTGGGCTCTCAGAAGAACAAGGCCGTTTTTTGTTTGGGATCCAGGTTGCGGAGACAGCTCCCCTACTCAACGGTACCCTCTTCTTGCCCTGGCCAGACAGAGCCACAAGGAGCCCAAGTTTTTCTCTGCTTCATTTGTCCTCTTCTTAGTTTTCAGGGTTTCTGTCAGCTGTTTTGCTATAATTCTGAGTCATGTATTTAGCTCATACTGAGGATTTTTTTTAAGTACATATTTTTTTCTTTTATCTGAAACAGTTTGGGCTGTTATTCTCTAAAAGAATAAGCAAGTTCGGCGGCCTTTCCCCTTCTTTAAGGTGGGGTAAAAGGCCCAAGTTGACAAATAATTCAGAAGAACAAATGAGAATGTCAGGGCCGCTGCCTGGCCTGAGGTCTGGTGCAGTCAGAGACGGTCAGTAAGTGCTCTTCCTGGCTTCCAAAAGGCATCAGGGGTTCCCAGTGCTCATGTTCGTATGAAGAGAGAATGACTACTTTTTTGGGTACTTTGTTGTCTCCCATGAAAATATGAATAATATTTAAGATCTTATATTTGCATCTTTTTTGTTTGTTTGGTTGGTTGGTTTGGTTTTTTTGGATACCAGGAATTGAACTCAGGACCTTGTGCTTGCCAGGCAGGTGCTTAGGCCACTGAGCTACATCCCCTGCCCTTATATTTGCATCTTAACACTTATGGTCTCCTAGTTCTTGGTGACTCTTTGTGACTCCAAGTCGAAATCCCATTTTGGGAAAGAGCATGTGTTGTTGTATTTTGTGCTTTCCATAGTCTGGCCAATTCACAAGGAACACTATCAGACAGTAACAACATGGGAAAATGTCTGCAGTGTAGCAAGTGAAATAGAACGTGACTGTATGTGCAGAGTATGAACATGGATTCAGAACTGTACATACGTGGCTGAACTTCTTAAAGTTTTCTGAAAGAGTAGCAGTAATCATCTATGGGTGATAACAAGAGGAAAGACTACTGTAAAAAATTCCCTGGCCCCCTCAAAATCGCCTTAGAGAGGGCATTCCAAGGCAGTAGTTAAAAACTCAGACTAGAAATCAGTCTTGCTGAACTTTGTCTCTAGACTTCTTATCTGAGTGGCTTCCATAGAGTTACTTTATGTAAATCTCACCTGCTTCATTAGTAAAAAGACAATAGGGTTGTCCACGGAAACCAATGAAAAAAATGAAATGACATATACAAAGCGCTTGGCACAAAACTTGACATAATACATATTAGCTCCCGCCTCCCCTTCCTACTCCATGCAAACCACACAATTTCCAGGGCTCTTTCCATCGGGATCCCGAGTCTAGCAGTACTTGAGTAAAACACTGGGGAGTCTGACCTCAAGGAACTGGGATTTGGGGCCAGTTGGAAGGTTAACCGAGCTACAGAGTAATTAGCCATAAACCCTGTTTCTTGCTTCCTAAGAGACAAACAGAGTTTAGAAAAGGAAGATAGAACTGTATATGGTAGTCTAAAGAAGAGACGAATAAGTGGGACATGAAGAAAGATGGAAACAGTAACGAGGTTAGTTTAACAAAGTTAGTCTTGAGCAGTCACTGAGTTTAGAATACTGGCTCAGAAGGCTATTAACTACAACAAGGATAATGACTACAGAGGTGTGTCTTAGTCACTTTCTTGTTACTGATACATAATACCTGACACCCTCAGTTTAAAGGAACAAAGGTTTATGTTCACTCACGGTTTTAGAGGTCTCGGTCCATGGTAAACTGGCTCAACATAGAAGCTGCGTGGTAGAAAAGCCTGACACAGAGGAGAGCAGCTCACAACAAGGCAGGGAGTGAAGAGAGGAGTTGGGGACTAAGCCACACCCTTCACCGCATCGTGCCCCCAATCATCTGCCTCTTCCAGCCAGAACCCACTTTGTAACATCATGTTCAGTTATGGTACCCCATGATCCAATCACCTTCCGAAAGCTCTGCCTCTGTGCACATGAGAGTTTTGGAAGTCATTCCTGGTCTACACTATAACTTTCCACCCCAAAAGATTCAGCCCTGTCTCTTTATGCAAAATGCATTTAGTCTAGCTCTAACACTCCTGAAAAGTTTAAGTACAAAGACTCCTCTTAAACTCAAGGAAAATTCTTAATTCTGATCCACTGCAAAAATCAAAAAGAAAACTGGGTGTGGTAGCACATGCCTGTAATCCCAGCACTCAGGAGGCTGAGGCAGGAGGATCATTGTGAGTTAGAGACCAACCTGGGCTACGAACTGAGCTCAAGGCCAGCCCAAACTGCATAGTGAGACCCTGTCTCAAAAAAGACAAAAAAACAAAACAAAACAAAAATAGAAAAGAAATTTAAATACTCCCAACATACAATAGCACAGGATAAATATCCCCATTTTAAAAGGAAGAAACAAAGAGATCAAAAGAAATGGGACTAAAGGAAGACCAAAATCCAGCATAGCAAACCTTAAATTTCTTAGCTCCATGTCTATCATCCAGAGAAAGTTGTGCTGAGATGTGAGATCCAAAGGGCTTGGGTGGCATTACCCCTATGGCCTTGCTGGTTGCAATCCTCATGGCCTCTCTCTTAGGCTGGCTTTGCTCACTGCCTCTGGGTTTCCTTAGCAGATGTTACATGTTTCAGACTTGTCTAGCTTCCTGGCATCTTCCCTTCACTTTTGGCTTCACTCTCACAGCTTCATGAAGACTGTCCTCTTAAGAGCACCCTTCATGGCCTCCCAGGCCTTCTGAAATGTGGTGGAAACCTCCATGACCCCACAACTCTTGCATTCTGCATCCCTGTAAAACCAACAAGACACCAAGATCTGCCACCAGCCCAAGCAGTAGCCAGGTTGCCTTGGATCATGGCTTTAAAGGTTTCAGAATGCTTGCTTGACCTGAGCACTATGAATCAAATCATAAAAAACCAATTCCCTAGGCCACCCTTTTAGAGCAGGGGACCCAGGTACTCTCTTCTCAAATGAAAGCTTTCCAGTTTTGTACCCTGGAGCCTGAGAAGGGTAGGGTCTTGCTGATTCCTCAGATGCCCTCAAGGTATCTTTCCTATTGTCGTCATGCAGAGTACTTGGCTTCTTTTTAATGCTACTCTCTTTAGTAACCAAGCTCTTTTTTTTGTTCCAATTTTATAGCACTTCCTTTCTGGTGAAACTAAAAGCTCTGTAAATGGGCTTTTTGCTTCTGTTTCTCAGTGTAAATTTCATTAAAAGCAATGAGTAGTACCCTTGCCACAAGCTGAACATTGGGCTGCATTGAAATTTTCTCCACCAGGTTAATCAATCCTTCACCCTTAAAATCAGCCTCCTGCAAAGTCTCAGGACATGAGCAACATGAAGATAAATATTCTGCCTGAGCATAACACACAAGGTCTGAGGTCCAACTGCCAATAAAGTTCTTACTCTTGGCTGAAACCTCCTAATCCTGATCTTTACCATCTGCATTTTTGTCAGCATACTGGTCTTTTGCACCCCAATGAGAATCTCCCATCAGGCTCTACTTACAGCATTCTAGGGCTTCTCTAGCCAGGATCTCCAGACTTCTGCAAACTCTTCCAATGAACCAGGTCCAAAGACTTTAAAATCACATAGCACATAGTCACAGTAGTGACCCCGCTTCTCTGGTACCAAAATCTGTTTTAGTTACTTTCTCATCACTGGAAAAAATACCCATTACCACAGCTTAAAGGAGGAGAAGTTTATTTGGTACCACAGTTTTTAGGTTTCCATCCATAGTCGGCTGGCTCCAAGGCAAAACACCGTGGTGGAAAGGCTTGGGCAGAGGGAAACTGGTCATGTCGTGGCAGCAAGGAAGCAGAGAGCAAAGAGAAGAGCCAGGGAGGGAGGTCTGGTCTTTCCAGGTCGTGCACTGACAAGCTCTTTTGACCAGGCCCCGCCTCCTGATGTCACATTCACCTGTAGCCTTCTACGATCCAGTCACCTTCCAAAAGCCCTCTGAACATGTGGGAGTTTTATGGGTCATTCTTAGTCTAAATCATAGCAAGTCCTTAAACTACATCCAAGGGATTTCTTAGCCTTTAACAGCATGGAGACCCAGAGGTCCTGGAGGGCTGAGGAGCTGCAGACAGGGAAGCCATTGTAGGGCAGAAACTGTGTGACAGTGAGGAATTGAGCTAGGATAGGGACTGTGAAAACTGAAAGGAGTTATATCTGAGGGAGAGTTTTTGTTTTTTAATGTAACATGAATTGATGGTAGCTGGATGTGGTGACACATACCTATAGTCCCAGCTACTTGAGAGGTTGAGGCTGGAGGATCACAAATACAAGGTCAGTGTGGGCAACTTATTTAGACCTTGTCTATAAAGAAACAACTACAAAAGCAGGTAGTAGATTTAATTTAGAGGAGGAAGCAGAGTAAAATTAAAAGAAGGAAAAGAACACAGGGCTGAAGTTATTGCTCAGTGGGTGCAGGGATGTTCTTCCTCAGGACTGTCCACAATCTCAAACATGTTAGTTGGAGCTGGTGTGCATGCTTAACATGTGTGAGGCTCTGGGTTCAGTATTCAATGTGCATGCACATGTACATACAAAGACTTTGCTTTCTAGCCTAAAAGAACGGAAGCAGACACTTGTTGGGATGTGAAGAAAAATAATTTTAAATCTTTTCCTTTGAGTTTTCTGAACCAATTACTATAAAGTTAGATTGGAAATCATAGTTTAGATTTAATGTTAAAATAGACTTCTCATTCTTCTCTTCTAGTCCCCAAATTAAACTTATCCACTGTTTGGTTGTGGATAAGTCTTTCACCACCACTCCCCCAGAGGGAAGTTTTCCTAGTATTTACCTGCTGGAAGAAGGGAACAAAGGTAATGCTACTTATGCACAAATAGGGACCAAGGGAAAAACGTTCTTTCTTATAATCATGAAAATGTCTTATCCCACTACAAAATTCCTATGTGCCTTTGTTGACTACAAAACAAACAGCCTCCAAGGTTTAGGGCCTTAACAGAACAATTTACGATTGACTTTCATAGTTCTGCGGCCTATTGTTTGAGCCTAGCTGGATGCTTTTTTCTTGGGATATTTCACATGTTCACAATCAGATGTTGGTAGGGTTAGATTCCTCTGAAGATTGGGCTGAACTGGAAGTCAAAGATGGCTTGATCATAATCACATGCCAGTAGGGTTAGATTTATCTGAAGATTGGGCAGAGCTGGAACTCCAAGATGGTTTACTCTGATGGTTGCCAGGTAACGTTGGCTTTCAGCTGAGAGTTTGACTGAGGCAGCAGTACCTAGCCTATCGCAGTGAGAGCGAACCTTTTAGAGCTTTCAATAGCATAAACAGCCCACTGTGGCACCCGCGCCATAGGTTTACCACCACCGGCCTATCCAACTGGTTTCACCTTCTAAAAGCATGTATTCTGAGAGAAGCCATTCCAAAAGCAAGGGGTTTCGAAGCCCTAGGCAGAAGCTCCAAGGCTGCTCTGAAGTCCCAAAACATCATTGCTGCCACATTCTGTTGGCTGAGAAAATCACTGAGGAAATCAGTTCACATCTGAGGACTGGGAATTGGAAGCCACTCTTGACATGAGGAGCAGCGAACATGTCTGAGGAAGGAAGGACTTGATAGGAGTCATCTTGGAGACTTCCTTTCACAGCCTTCATATAGAAAAGCTCTCCCTGCTGTGAAACCTTGAGGCTTGAAGTAATAACCGTCTGCCTTTCCAGTCCAAACTGCTACAAGTTGACGAGTTAGCTGTTTAGCTAATGAAGGAGGCAATCTAGTTTGTTATGTAAAGGCAGACTTACAAAGAGACAAGCTTAAGTATGGGGACCTTTGCTTGGATTAGGACCTCTTAGTTCTTCTTTGTCTTCTTCTTCTTGGAAAATGTAGAATGTTCTACACAGAGAGGAGAAACAAAAGTGCAACCAGAAAGCATTTTTATAAACATTTCTCTTATAAAAGAATTAGAATCCAAGGCTCAAGTAGTTTGCTGTGATTTTTCTTCTCATTCTTAATAAACACTCAGCACCCAAATTTGCTTTCATAATTACATAGTATCTTTTTCTTAAAGAGAACCTACAAAGTCAAATATCACAAAGAATGGGTCTGCTTGTGTAAAGAAAAAATAAGTTCTAAGATTTCTTTGATAGCCTAAAAAAGTCATATTTAACAGTTGTTAATCACTTAAGTCTCATACATCTGCAGTATCTCATACGTCAGGGTTCTCAGTTAAAGTTACGTGTCTATGGGGTATGTGCAACCTTAAGCACCACCGCGTTGAATGTGTCGGGGGCATCACGTACTACAACTGTGCAGAAGATACTTTCTTTGATTCTGGTACATTCCCATTTTACTGTGCAGAGACTCCATGACTTAGCCTGTTGGTTTCCATCTCTTAACTCTCAAGTTGAGCAGCAGAAATTGCTTGTGTGAATGTAAGTATCTGTGTCCTGTTTACATGGGTGACTTTAGCCAGTGACTTGTGATTTGCCAGTCAGCTATTTGAACAAATCCAAATTTGAGATTTATTCTTCACACACACACACACAAACTCCCTTGGTAACTATAAAATCCCTTGGTAACTATAAAACTATAAATTCCATTGGTCCCACAATGGAAGCCAACCTGTCAGTTTGTGTCAAACTTCTGCTGTTATTAGACAGTGTCAACCTCTGGTCCATTCCTCAAAAAGAACCATTTTTTTGAATATTTCATTTAAACATGTAAAATTTTTCCATTAATTTATTGTAGATAATAATAGTTTGAAAGGTTACTTTTAAAATGCAAATTTCTAGAATCTACTTCCTGCAAATCTGAATACTAGGTGTAGGGTAGGTCCTAAGAATTTCCACATTTTTAGATATCTCTAAAGTAGGTGACCCAAAGACCTCCATAAGAAACGCTGCCCTTTGCCTTTACCTACTGTGTTTTAGGAACTTCGGTTTTATAATCCTGATGTGTGTTGGAGAGATATCCCTAGTCTAGTCCTGAACTCACTGAGTCATTCTTCCTACACAGTGGCGCCAGGCTGGGCTGGAAGATTAGGGGTACAGCAAACCCCACTCTCTGCCTAAATACAGGTGTACTGCAGCCTGGGCTTCTTGCTCCCAGAACAGCTGCAATCAGTGGCCCTGACTTGCCATACAGCAAGTACCCCACAGTACGATTAAGCCAGTGTGATTATGTCTCCTTTTCTAAGGCAGCACGTACATGCATAACTATTCACTTGCTCATCTGAGGTCCCTGGAAACCCACTATCATGAAGAGTCCTATGAAACAGTGTGATTATTTCCGTCCCAGTGTCCAGACAAGGCAGCCGTAGACATGAAGAGTAGTAACCATCTCATCGTTTCTATAGCAGGTCACCATAGTACCTGTCCCCTCAACCACGACTTTTTTTTTTTTCTGACAGTCAAGAGGGACACAGGTAACAGTTCTGCTGGGAAAAGAGGCACAAAGCAAACCTGCTGCAGGCAAGCAGTGACATCAAGTCACTCCCTTTGTGCCTTGCCTCCCTCCTGAATGAACATGAGGCAGCTTAACCCACCCGCACCGCACCTGATTCTCACAGGCTGGGTTTTCTTCTGACCCTTATATCCGCAAAAAGACATGTCAGTGACAATGGACGTCTTCCTCACATTATTATGGCACTAGATTCAAGCCTTTCCGTGGACTGATTCATTCAATGAGCCTGTGATTCCGCAGTACATAAGCTACAGGAAACCGTGAGAAAGGAGTGTGTCTTGGGAGTGTCCCAGCCTGCAAGTGAGCTCCTTCCTGTAGTCTGCTCCATGGACTTGTAAAGTACCGGGTCTCCCACGGAGAAAATGGAACCTTGTGTTATAACAGTCAGGCATTGGGTACGACTTCAGGCTTTACTTCCCCACTCATGTTTTGGTTGGTTTATAAGCCTTTTGAGCTACTAGATTGTTTCCACTCTCCAAAGTCAAGTATTTATTTTGTCTGAGGACTCCAAAAGAAGAAGAAGGGGGAAAAAAAGCCCTCAAGAATATCTGTGGTGTATTTTCAAGTATGAGATTATACTCACAGCCAAAACAGCCAGCTACTTTGAGGTGGTATGAGCGGCCAGCATATTTGTAATACTTAAATGTCACTTGATTCACTTGCGTCCAAGTGCTCTGCAGTCACATGGCCAGTCACATCAAAATTTAATCTCCTGTGATCAAAGAGTCAGAAAATGTTAGAGCCATAAACATGTCCAGTCCTTTCATTTCCTAACCTTTCATTTCCTAAAGCTTCGAGAAGCCAAACTGTATCCCTCACCACTGCCCAGCAGAAAGCCAGCTCTCTATCCAAACCCCACTAGGCAACGCCGCCCAGCTGTCTTGCACCCCCAGACTTTGTCCTACACTCAGCTCCACAGGGAAGACGTGCAGTGTCCAGCTCCGCCTCCTGGACCCGTCCACCTGGGGAATCAGTGCTTGTCTTTCACTCACTATTCCTGGAAGGTGGTCCCTAAACTTTGCAATTATGAATGACCGTGATTGTTTTTCCTGCCTACTAAAAGGCAGAGGTGAGTCTCAAACCTAAGTCTCTTGCCACCAGTGTTACTTTTATGTGACATCATGCTGCAGAGACCAAATCACCGCAGAGAACCCGGATGCAGGTTCGGTGGTCTGCCAGAAAGCCAGTCCTGATGCAGTTGTCTTGCTTTATCGGCCTGTGAGGAAATATGGAGGGTTTTTCCCTCCCGGCAGAAGCACCACATTTAACGTTCAGTGTAAGGTTGAATTTTGGGGTTGGCCCTGTGGATTAAAGGAGACAAAACATCCTACTCTTATTTCCTACCACCTATTGACAGCCTTTACCTGTGAGCCACCTTTGGCTTTTCTTCCAAGTATCCTTTTTTGAGTCCTAATCACTCTTATTTTAAACAGGACTTTGGGAATTGAACCCCAGGTTCCCTGGGCCCACTCTTTGTCCTTTCCGTCCTCCAGCCTGCTCTGCTGTTACTGCCCAGAGATGAGTGCCATGTGGAATCACGCACACTGCATTAGGATTTGCGGTTCTTTTCTACACGGTCTTATTTACTCCTCAAACAGCTTTGTGGGAAAGGTAGAGCACATGCTATAATGCTTATTTTTCTTTTCTTGTTTCTCAGTTTTAAAATATAGTTTCAGAGAATAAAGAGGCCAGTGGCATTGCCCAAGTCACAGAACTGCATAGAATCAGACCCGCGTGAAGCAGGGTCTTTCTTGTTCTTTCACTTCCACAAAGCTGGGTCTGAGCTGCACGGGCTCGTCATCTTGCATTGGGTACTTAAAAGGGGAAAAAAAGAAAAAGGTTTGGAGAAATTGCTGAGCGGATAAAGATGTAAAAGCTGTGAGAGCATCCCAGCAAAGCAGCGGAGATTTGGTAAATGGAGAATTGATGGATTCTTTTTTAAAAGTAGCTTCAAGACACCAGCGTCAGCTTGCGGTCCTGTGAGCTCTCTTAACATGCCACCGAAATACCCTCAGTAATAGGACAAAGATGAGAGCACGCCATCAGACAAACGCTGAAACAGCAGCCCGCAGCTCAGCACTAAGGAGGTGCCGTATTAAAGAGCTACTTGTCACAGCTCCTGTGGAAAATAGGTGCCAGCGATGATATTAAGGCCATCTCTGAGTGCTGGGGAGCTGAGAGCCCTGTGGGAGTCCGCGCTTCGCTCGCTCAGGGCACATTAGCCAAGGCTCTTGTTTGCCACCCGACACATTCCTGCTTCCCAACTCGGTAGTTTTGTTAGTTGGCAGCTGCCCTGAGGAGCAGGTAGCGCATGGCTACTGCTGTTAGACCTCGGCACATTGCACTTTGGTGACTGTTAGGAAGTATCAGAGTTAACCAAGCTACATCTGTTTGGTCACCATGAAATTAGGGGTCTTCTCAGTGGGTCTGATGGTTTAATTTTTTCCTTCTTCCCCTCCTTATTTGTTGTCTCAGCAAGTTTATTTCCCTGAGATTGGTGCGGTCTGTGCTTTACGCTATAAAAGACCCCTTTTGGGCCTGTTAAAGAAATGCAAAATGGGCTCGCTGGTTTCCACAGGTTGATTTGGGACCAGAGTTCAGGGTGACCAGCTCTCTTGAAGTTTATTGTTTACTGGGACATGGTAAATGTCCCATAGGTAAAAGCTTCCTGTGATTACTGAGTGGTTACCGAGTGCTGGGCTCTATTCTGTGTACACAAACATATAGGAGAAGGCAGACCATTCCCCTGCAGGAGTTTGCTGCCTATGGCAATGTTTTTCAAGGTGAGATTTCGCCACTGCTTGTGTTGGAATTACCTGGGGTCCTTGTTTATGCCGTACCTGGGCTCCAGCTCAGATCTGCACAATCAGAAGTTTTAAACGTCAAATCCCTGAATCTTAACTTGGTTAAATAGCACCCTGTTTGATTCTTAAGCATACTAAAATTTCAGAATAACTAATTACATGAAGAGACGGACAGGTAACCCGAGCTGCGTACACATAGGAAATATTGTGTTGGTGGGCTTGAAGGGCTGGGATTGTTCTGACAGCAGAGGGTAGAAAAAGCCTTTCCAGCCCTCCTTCCACCACCCTCTCCCATGAGCTCCTAACCCAGATTAACAGACACCCAAAGGAAAGGAGAAAGGGAAGATAAAGGCAGGCCCCGGGGCAGCTTCCTCAGTGCTTAGATGGCGCCTTCCCAGAGCAGTGCGCGTCTGAAGTGACTGTCACTCCTTGTCCTGCTTCGCTCCATCTTCTGTCCCTGGGATTTGCGTCTCTCTCCCCTACTAGTGTAGAACTTCTGAGCAACCTTGTGCGTTCTCATCTCCACTTCCCCAGAGCTTGGCACATAGCTGGGACTCTTAAAGCCATGACAACCACAGGAAGGCAAGGAGTCCAAGAGGCCGCATCTTTCCGCTGCTGAGATTACAAATGGCGCTTGACTTGGATGCGTCACCTGGCCATTTGTCCTATTTTGTGATGGTACAAAATCAATGCCCAGTCAGTAAGAATGGTACTTTGAATTTTGATCTTCTCCTGGGCTAGAAATACATGATCCAATGCTTGGTCACAGTTCTAGTCAGCAGTGGAGAGCCGCTCTGCCAGTCAACCACACAGGCGCAAGGGGAAGCAGCCAGTACTTTACATTGTACTGTGTCGCTAAGCTCATCCTGTTCAGTGGGCCAGGAGTACTAAACTCATTTTCAACTCCTGATATTTTCAATTTAACGACGGTATTATTTTACTGGGACACAACCCCAGCATAAGTCAGAGAACAGCTGTATGGATATTGCTCTAAGAAGCTGCAAGACTCCCGGGGATTTTATGGGCTTTTCCTCGCTTTCTTGGCGGGTGAGAGGCAGGGAGGGACCCCAGAAGGGATGACTGCATTCTCCAGCCTCCTTCGGACAAAGGCGTTTGTGTGCGCACCTCCTCCCCCAGGGCCCGCAGAGACTCTTTTCAGATGCCTGAGTCCTGGGGAGCCTCAGAGCCTGTTAGTTTGTTGTGGGGCTTCCAGGAACCTTAGGAAGCTATTTCAGGAACTGAGCAGGGAACTTTGGGGAGGTGAGTGTGGTCTGACTGGGGAAGGCCCACAGCAGCTTTAGGAGGCAAGGTCAGGGCCCAGGAGCCCGCGGGGTCCTGTGAAGCCCTTGCAGCGGGGAGGATGAGCCAGCAGTGGCTTGGCTTGCTGGACAGTTCGATTTTTCTGAAAGCATTTTCACAAAATGGTCTGCATCATAGGTTCATGTATAAGACGCGAGCTGTAAGTGGAAAGTTGGCAAAGTCCCTTGGAAATTGGCTAAAGGGCAGGAAAGAAAGGGTAGCAGTAAAAACCTAAAAGGATGCTAATTGAGGAGTGCCTCAGGGAATGGGGTTGCTACCAGCTTTTTATGACTTACATAAAAATTATGGGAAGAATGGTATTGAAAGGGATTTTCAGCTAGCTAATGAAACTGCATTAGTGCCCTGTGAGTGAGGATGTGAACAGAATTAAGGACAGATTTCATTTGTTGATGGAATGGGGAGTAAAATTTTCTCCTGTGTTTGTATTTTGGCCAGATATCCACTCAGTACTGAGCAGGATAACTTCTACTGCAGTGACTCAACCTGTCACATTCCAAAGAGAATTTGTCCCCCTGCTCTTGAAATTAAGTGGATGTTAGCTTCAGACCTGGCAGCATCTCTGTTAGAAGGAGCTAGAAGGCCAATGGAATCTTATATTTAACTACAGAGTAAGACTGGACCACCTGATATTGATCTCTCTCCACTTCCTGTTCCTCAATATGTTCTATTCAATGGAGCTCAAATTATCACAGAACTTGGCTCTAGATATGTGCCCCAAGAAGAAGCTAACCGTCTCTCCTAAGTACAGTTATTGCGTGCTGGAAACAACACAGTGACCAGGACATAAAGCTGGAGCAGTGACATTTGCTGCCCTTTCTGTAGTCTAGGCTATGGAACATTCTCTCTGGCATCAGAACCCGTAGGGCCCTTGATTACCTTATCTACAAGCCTGGCCTAGGAGGGATCTTCTTTGCCATTCAAAGTGTGGCCCATGGACCTGCCTGGAGCCTGGGCCTCATCCGGGAGAACGGCAGGCTCTTGGGCACCACCCAGAACTGGATTTGAATCTGCACGTTACCAGGACCCTGCACTGATTGCTTTGCAAAGCCCTGTTCTAGCAAACCCTGCAGCCGTAGAAAATAAAGCAAAGGCGCGGGTCAGAAATCAGACAGTACTTAATGGCTTGAGGATAGAGTTCTGGCACTTGGGACATTCTAGCTGCTAAAAACTTAAGTTCCCTCCTCCTGGTTTTTTGTTGTTGTTGTTTTGTTTCCTCCATGCTTTCTCCAGAGTGTAAGCTTAGTCCTCTGTCCTTTGAGCAGATGTTAAGAGTCAGGGCAGTATATATGCCCAGTACTTTTCCCATGGGTGTGGGCCGTGTGCGTGACCATTAGCTAATTGTAAAGCAAGAAGGCTTTCAAATAAGTGCATTCAATAAAGAAGGTCTCCTTCGTCCTGTACTTACCGAGCAGTAACTAAAGATTCTAAATTGGCTTTATCTCCACTACAGGCTAGGAACTCCTCTGAAGCGGGAAAATAAATTACTTTTTTATTTATAGTACCTGGCACAAGGTAGGCCCTTAATAAATGTTTTCTGAATGAATATGCAAAGAAGATCAGCAAAGAAGGCCCTTGTTGCTGTTCTGAGTAGCGCGATATCCACTTGTGAGTCATCGTTCCACCTATATGGCAAGCATCACATTTGAATTAATTCTTTTCTCATCATGAAGCCTATCTCTTCAGTTCGTGCACAGTTGTGTATTGGGTCCATATGTTTGTACAAGCAGTTTGGGAAAAGGACTACCCTTGACCATAGAGCTTCCTGCATAATCAAGCATCTTATACCTGAAAACCACCAGAATGAGGGGTCAGTTCGTTAGGGACAAAAAAATGTTGAGCTTCCAGTTTCCCAAGTGATGGTGTTCCTGTTCTTTTCAGGTGAGAGTCTACGATCTCTCCAAATATGAGCACGGAGCAGATGATGTGCTGATCTTGGCCACGGATGGACTTTGGGATGTTTTATCAAATGAAGAAGTAGCAGAAGCCATCACTCAGTTTCTTCCTAACTGTGACCCGGATGATCCTCACAGGTGTGTGCGTTTCTGCAGCGGTGGGGTTGTTCCTTAGGCGGCGCTGCATGACATGACTGAGACAAATGGCAATCATTCAATCTTCTCACGGTTTATGGTAGAGGCTGGGACGATAGTTCATCAATCACACAGCAGAAGGGAATACATATCTTTTTAGAGGTACTTTCTTGAACAATTACAAGTCCTTCAATTGAACCAAGATACAAGTGGTAAATAGTGTAATTTGTTGGTTAATATAGAAGCATATCTTTCTCACGTTCTCATTTCATATCCCATCGTGTTTGGTCCTGCTGATGGGAACAATGACAAATCCTTCCAAGCCTTGACTTCCATCCACTGGGGGTTTGTTTCTTTTGATAATATGGGGGAAAGGAGAGAAACTAAAGTAGGTTTTTCTTTCTAATATAATGGCAGTGTAAATATCTTAATCCTAGAAGACTCTCAGAATTCAACTGAAATCACTTCTGGAGAAAGGCAGCTTTAACTAGAATGCAAACAAGTTACCGTGAGGAAGAGCCAGCAGAAATAACCAAGACGGTAGTTGAATATGTAAATATTTCCTGATTGGATTTAGCAAATTAACATACTTTATAAAATTTTTAATAAGTATTGAAAATAGGTGCAATAAGAGACTATAAAATGGCCACGCATAGTTTTAAAATAAGGAAATGAAGCTTCCAGTGATGAAAAATATAAAAATAAGAATTTTAATTGGAATTTAAAATTTGGTAAGTTAAACACATTAGAGACGGTTAAAGACAATGTTAGTGAACTAGAAAATTGATCTGAATAAGTAGTGCAGTCATGGCTTAGAAAAATAGAAGAGATAATGTAAAGTGAAACCAAGAGACTGAGCAGATGACCTAAGATGCTCTACACAGAAACTCAAAAGGAAATAGTATAGTGGAAAAAGAGAAAAAATTTGGATTTTTTTCATTAGTACTAAATCTGAGATCCAGAAAGCTCAAAAAAATCTTAGCCAGAGGAATAAAAAAAGAAAATTGTAAATAGGCCTTTCTTAATGAAACTGAAGAACTTTAAACCCTACTTCCTCAGAAAGATAGTAAAAACAGGCAGAAAGAAAGGACAACATACATACATAGGAAGATCATTTAGAATCTGACAGCTAGCTTTTCAGAAGCAGCAATAGGAGTCAAAAGACAATGGAATTATATCTTCAGTTGGCTAAAGAGAAAATAGCCGCTAACCTGGAAGTTTTTCATATGTAGTAAAATTATCAATAAACAGGATGAAGTAAAGCAATTTTCAAGGGCTGAGGATGTGGCTCCTGGCAGAGTGTGTGCCTAGCATATGTGAGACTTTAAATCAATCCCCAGTACCACCAAAAGTTTTCAAGTAAAATAAAATTGAGAAATTTTAGTGCTATCCAATCTTCTCTGAAGAGAATTCTAGAGAATATACTCACATAAAAAAGGGAAAAGATCCCAGATAAGAGATCTGAGAAGAGAGATTATTAAGCTAAAGTATTAGTAAATATGTGAGTATATATAAACATACATTGACTGGGAAAAGTGGTAAGAAGAATATCTTAACATGTGGGTTTAAAATGATAGAACTAAATTACTGAACAAAAGTAGTTTACAAATTAACAAAGAAGGCTAGGAATCAGCTGTGTGCTATGGTTATTTTTGAGAATAAGTGAAAGATATTTAACTTTGGACTTTAATAAATGCAATGGCTAAGTAAACTATGAAAGTAATAGAAAGGATAACTTCCAAACCAGTAGAAGAGGAGAAACCCCATGGAATAAAAGCTAAGCTTCTGAACAACTTATAAATCAAGAAGAAAAATTAATTCAATAACAGAATATAATGTAAGAAGTGAAACAACAGAATAAACCTGAGGAAAGGAATGGAAGGAAAAAATAAAACAGATGAATAAAATACACAATAAAGATAAATTATAAAGCCAAAATTTGATTCTTTAAAACAAGTATGACGTTATAAAAATGTGTCAAAATTCTTACTTATATAAGTGAAGTAAGGTCACCAAAAAGACAAATATTGTATGATTTCACTTACATAAGGTCCCAGAGTAGTGAAATTCACAGAGAAAGATGGGAGAAATGGCGGCTACCAGGCACTGGCGGGATGACAGGACGGGGGCTTCATGTTCTGTTGGTAACAAGTTTCCACTGAAAAAGGTGAAAGAGCGCTTAGGGATGGGAGTGGGTGGTGGTGATAGCTGCACCATGTCAATGCACTTAATGCCACAGAAACATACACTTTAAATATAAACTTAAAATAGTCAAAATGGTAAATTTTATCTTAGATATGTTTTATCACAATACAAAAAAATTTTTAAAGCAATAAAAGTAAAGTACATAAATTTTCTGGAAGATAAAAGCAGCAGAGAAGTAAGGGGAAAGAAAAAATATATATATAATTACATACTATATAATATAGTATATGTTATAATATACTATATATTATAGCATATAGTATAGTATATGTTATACAATAACATATACTATATTATATGTTATATAATAATATACTATATTATAATGTGTTATCGTATATATTATATTAACATAGCATATT